ATAAAATGAATACAATGTACAAAATATAAACTCAGGGCAGGCAACTGCAACAGCCCGGAGTCCTCCTAGGGCCGATGGTGGTGGGGACGGGCAAAATTAAAATAGGTTAAACTTCTTCAGGCTGCAGATAGGTTTTAATTAAACATTAATTAATTAATAATATTAATTATAATTAATATTAATTTCATCCTCTTCTGTTCAGCCCTCTCAGGAGAAAGCTGTGTAGCAGATCAGCCTTGCCTCTTCCACCTGGACTTCCCCTCAGGAGCGGAGGAGCCTTGCAGGGTGGCGGGTGTTGACTCCTCTTCCTCCTCTTCATGCTTTCTCCTCAGGAGGAGGTTGAGCAGCAGAGGAGCCTTGAAGTTTTAGGCTTTCATGGCCGGCATCCATAGTTTTTGTGGGTTTTTCGGGCTGTGTGAAGATGCCATGCTGGCGAAACGTCAGAAAGAAACTCTTCTAGAACATGGCCACACAGCCTGAAAAACCCACAAAAACTATCGCCTTGAAGTTGTTCCACATCCTTAGGGGCTGCCCAAAATCCCGTGGCATGCGGGCCCCGGGCCATATGTTTTGCAGGCCTGGTCTGGGTTCTCTGTGATCGACATCTGCCAGACATTGATCCTAGAACTGCTCTGGAGCCGCTACAAATGCCTAGTGGAGTGTTCTCTAGGTCCTTCAGTGTGACTTTTGGTTAAAGTTGACTATAGAGTTGCATTGGAGGACCTAGATATGCCTGGAGAGAACATATTAATAAAATCTGTGAATGATCACCTCCTCAAAAGTTAACACCGCAAATGTGGAGGGACGAGCGTATTATTCTTTTTCTTATTCTGCTTATTTATATCCCACCTTCCTCCCAGTACAGGGACTCAGGCTGCTAACAAATTTAAAACAGTCTAAGTCAAAAAAGTATAAAACATTAAAAATACAAAGTTTAAAAACAAGTAAACAATTACATTATTAAACTTTAAAACCGTTTAAAACAAAACAGCACCCATGTCAATATGCAATGGCCCGGCAGCATAAAAATGTTTTTATCTGCAATTGAAAAGAAAGCAAAGATGGAACCTGTCTAGGGAGGGAGTTCAAATCACAAAGGAGGACCAAAGCATTGCAGACATGGAGGGCATGACCAAAGAAAAGCTGTAAACACTCATGGGTAAACAAATCCTGGAAACAAACCAAGGGCCCACTGTACTTGGAAGTGTTATTATTTGTATGCCACTTTTCTCCCAGAAGGGACTCAAGGCAGCCCTGGTATTCCACTAGTGGACGGGGCTAAAATGCCAGCATATTTTAGTTGAGAGAAAACTTTCTAAAATTCATGAGGTCACCATGAGACTTGTGAGATATACACACCCACTTAATGCTGCTAAGTATTAGGAGAGTCGTTTCAGCCTTTTAAGAAAAAAGAAATCTATATAAAGGGTGGGAAACCACTTAACAGTGAAGGTCTCATAGGGGGACAAGGCCATTTTAGGAACTCCTTGAGGGCTAAATTTGTCCCCAAGCATGAGATTATTCAGTCCTTGCTATGTTGCTGTCACTTTTTTCTTCTTTATACCTCAGGACTCTTAATTTTAACTGGGATAGAGAAAGACTGTTAATTATCCAGAAGTAGTTCTCATTTCCTTCTGTGAGAGAGGTTATGAGGCCGCATGGTGAAGTGGTTTGAGTGTTGGACTAGGACTCTGGGAGATCAGTGTTTGAATCCCTGTGGGGCCATGGTCAAGTCATTCTCTCTACCACAGAGGAAATAGTGGCAAACTCCTTCTGAATAAATCTTAAGAAAACCCTGTGTTAGGGTCACTGTGAGTCAGAAATGGGTTGAAGGCACACAATGCAAGTGAAGCTTGTATAAGCATTGGTGAGGTGGTTCTTGTGGTGGTCCTCTGCGTGCTGCTTCTGGAATCTAGCTGGGCTCTGGGCAGAGCACCTGAGTAGGATGGCAAAGCTATTGTAAAGGTAGAAAGTGGGAAGGCTGTTGAGAACCTGCTTCTTTCTTTTCTACATCAGTTATCTGTACAGGACTATTTATGCTTTACAAGGGGATGCTGTAAACAATTAGGCAACTCAGCCAGCATGGGGGCTTATTTTGGCCCCTATATCCCTCTATCCTGAACTGCAACAGCCTGTCTTCAGTGACCCAGAAGTAATGTCAAATCATTTAATCACTTCTGGGTTTTTGAAGGGGCTTTTCTTGCTCCCAGGTTAGGGACTTCATGCGGGGGGGTGTGTGTGAAACTGCTCTGTTTTGGAATGATTTTGCAGGGGTTTACAGATCTGATAATGAATCATTGTAATTCTTTTAATGGACCTGAAGCTTTTTGGATGTCCGAAGAACACAGAAAGAGGTTGATGGTTGAAGATGAAATTATTAGTACAGCATAATGAACCTCTCGTGTATTTTCTCCATTTTAATGAAATATTACATGCTTTCATTAATGTGCAACATTAATTTACTGAACTCTTTAGATGACAGTGCCTCACAACACTTATAAAGTGAAATACAAAATGAAACAAAGCCATCAACGTCATTAAAGCAGTTAGCATCCAGCATTCTTTCCCGTGGGGCGTTCACTGTTAGCAAGTTTCTTATGTCCTGCCTCTCTGCCAAATAGGTCAAAGCAATCTATATGGCTCCCTTCTTCCCACTTTTTATCTTTACAATATCTTTGTGAGGCAGGTCGAGATGGGAGAGACTAAGTGGCTCAACAGGTCACCAAGTGAGTTTCATGGCTGGTCCCACACACAGCCTCTTTTAGATGGCCCTGTAGTGAGATGGTGAAGTCCCAATTAAACAAAAGCTTATTGATGCCTGTCGTTCCTCTGCTGCCTCCACATTTCTCCTGGACCTGGACATCAGTACTTAAAATAAGAAATATATAATATAAACTCTTTTTGCTCCTTTAAAAAATTGTCCATTCTTCCCCTAGACAAAACTGTGCTATCCTTTGTATGGGCGGTGTAGGGAAGAATCCTAAGCCTCATTTCTATCTTGGAATCCAAGTGGTACTTCATGGGTTAAAAGCAGGGAAGTATAGGTTGCCAGGGTTCTTGAAAGTGAGAGCTCCATGACCCTTCAGGGCTGTAATGCAATGAGGCTAGGTTTATGGTGTGCCTGTCTTAGTCCCTGGCTTGTTTCTGTAGGAGTGTAGGTTTTCTGGAGCACAGTCATTTAGATAAAATACACTCCCACTTTAATGTATGGTTCCTGTGAGGTGAGTCTATAAAAGAGTGGAGCCTGTGTTGGCAAGAGCTGGATTTAGCATTTCAAGTACTTGGATGCAAAATGGGGTCATCTTCGCTGGTTGTTTACATCAGTACTTCTTTCTTCTCTCCTGCACAGCCTACGGCTCTGAAATGAAGGACTTGGCTCTCATGACTTGCTACATCATCTGAAAGAACATGGAAGGCTTGAATCAACAAAGCTTATGACCTAATGCCTCAGGAGAATGTAACCTGCTTGCCATTTACAAGCTTTGGTGAAGCTGGGCCCTTGGCTACACCCAGAGTGTTCTTTCCCAACAACATGTGGAGGATGACAGAGGTTGATGAACCTCCTATCTGGTTAATGCACATGAAAGTACTTTGCTACCCTCAGAGTTCCTGTTCTTCTTTAGCCCACAGGCTCTGACACTGCAGATACGTGGCCCAAGAAGAGTTTACAGAGTCTCCTTCCTTCTCTGGTCCATCACATCTGCCATGTAAAATATAGCAAAAGAAGGGAGATGGAACAGAAAGAAGAGGAAAGATTTAACACATCATGTCCAGTCATATAAGATGCTAGTTGGTTTCTCTTCCAAGCAGAATTGGGAGTATTTCAGTGGCTTCTTTACAGACAGTTTGTTTTGTGTGTGTGTTTGTGTGTGATGCCTGTTTCCACTTTTGCCCCTATTGAACATTTGTATTTCCTCTTCATAAACTTATGGGAAAGCACTTTCCCTTTGCCCACCCTGGTAAAAATAGAGACAGATGTGATATGATATATTATGTTTGAACTCAGTGAACTTTTATTTCTGACTGTAAAGTCATTATTTTTATATTTGATACAAGACATTCCTTGTTGGAGGGGGCAGAGAGAAGGATAGAAATAGATCTTCCTTGAGTCCCCGTTTGTGTGTCTTCATTACTTCAGTATTGGAGGGAAATAATGTTCTACATTTTTCTTTCCCCCCCCCCCCCACATTCAGAAAACATAAACTTGGGACAGTGGGATGCCTCATACCTTTCTTTCATCTAGGAGGCTTTTGAAAATCTCATAGTAGAGCTGGTTCCTACTCAGATGGGATTATTGTCTCACACACGTACACATTTTGCCTCATTTGACTATAAATTGGGTGCAGTAGGCAGAGATGAGGAATGCTTTAGTGCTAACCTGCAGAGGTCGCTTGTCAGACAGCCCCTTGGGACTGGCATTCCAATCAGCTGGATGGCTTGGTTTCAGACACATAATGGAATTCTTTATCCTTTATGAGGTTACCATGATGGCTTTTTCTTTATTTGCATTTGTTACAAACTAGAAAACACATTTTACAGGCTCTCCCTCATTTCAGAACTCACATGAAAATAGTGTAAAGATAGACCGTTGGACCTTCCTATATACGTTTTGTTGTCAGAAATAGTGTTAAATGATGGTTGTTTTGATAAGAAGCATTTCTGTGAAATGTATTTGACATATATTTCAGTTTTTGCTCAAATTTCTTAGTATTTTGGTAATTATAACTTATTTAATTTTAATAAAAACCTGAGATTTGGAATGTTTGGTGATCACATTTATAACTGACAAAGGCCTTTATACTCATTCCAGTGGCATCCTACACTGGGGGGGTCACCCAGTGCAAGGGGTGGGACCAAAAGGACTCGCCTTCACCTTCCTGCCCAGCATCACTTGACACTTGAATAAAGCCATGCTGAGCATGGAGGAAGGGGTGCACATGGCAGGGATGTGGGGGGACCACTCAGCTGGGTGTCACCCCTCTTCTGGGGTGTCACTCGGTGTGGTCTGCCACCCACCTACCCCTTGACACCACTGGCTTCCAGACACATTAGGTGAAGAAGAATGGGATGTCATGTAGAATCCTAAGAGTTGGAAAACCTCACAAGAACCATCTATCTGTGCTAACCCCCCGTCTGGATTCTAAATTAGTTTGTACTATTTTCCATGACTAGCATGGAAATGGAGGCTTGTGTATTCTTAGAAAAATAGTTGTAAGGCAATACAGCTTGGTTCTACCTAAACAGCCTGAAGGTTGAGAAGATATTGCCTCTTTCCTCCTCTGCTAGCCAACTGTTTTCATGAAGGAAGAAATTCCGTTCTCTGAAGCAGTTACTGAAGCCAAACAGACTGCTAGAAGGGTGCAGTGACTGTTCTTACTTCATGAGCCCCATCATCTCATGTGCCTGTTTGCTGAAATACAAAGTTAAAGATATACCTTCATCATAACAAAACATCAGGAAAGTGATTTTGCATAAAAGTAGAAACTGAATTTTTTTTATTGAATTAAAGAATCTAAATCTGAGGGAAGAAGGGGCCTGAAAGAATGAAGTTTGAAAGGGTTCTGCTCACAGCTGGGATGCGGATGATTCCTTGTTTGCATTTGAGAGAACTTGGCAGTGGCGTGGGTTGGATTACTCTGGCATCTGGAAGAGCAGCCATTACCCAAGAGTGCTTCCTTCCTCTGTGTGATGCATACAGACTGCCTTCAGCCACGTTTCTCTGGCTGATTCATGAGCTGAATTCCTCCAAGTGGCACAGCTGCCTCTTTATCTCAGGGTTCTGGCTTTCTTGAGGCAAAGGGTTGCAGCATGTCATCAATCATATCCTGTTTAATCACCACTCTGGACCTCCAACCTGCCTTCCTCCCATGACTTGGGACAAATGCTACTTCGAATGGTCTGCGTGTCATTTATGTGAGTCACTGTGGTTGGTCCACCTTTGCCTGCAGCCAACAATGCAAGAGGGAAGGTAGGTGCAATTTTGCAAACAATGAACGTGGAAGGATGTGACTAAAGCTTTCAGTGGCCAAGGTATCTTGCTCTATAGAAATCTAGTTGGACATTTGAGATAAAGCATCCTGTGATCAGGCAGGCAGTCTGTTAATAAACCAGACTCTACATTTGAGTATTGAGTTTATCAGACTAAAGGGAAACTCCTGATTTAAAAGGGGTAAATGTTTAAATACATATGGACAACATTTCAAGGAAGAACTGGTGAGATGAGGGCTCTAAAAAGTAAAGTTCATTTTTAGTTTTTTGTGGGTTTTTCAAGCTGTGTGGCCATGTTCTAGAAGAGTTCCTTTCTGACGTTTCGGTAGCATCTGTGGCTGGCATCTTCAGAGAATACTGAAATGGAAGATTATATATATAAAGTTCATTTTTGTTTTCTAGTGCTCTCTTAAGAGAATCATATGCCCTCCATGAAGGTTTACAGTTGCATATCCTTTGTGGATCTTTCATGTTTTTTACTTGGCATTCCATCCTGCCCTGGCTTTATAAACAAAGCGGGGAAGAAAATTTGAATTATGGATGCTTAATACATTAATACAGGAATGAAGTATGAATGTTTAATGTTCACAAATTGCAAGAGATTCTTGCAAAGATTCAATTACAGCAAGAATCTCTTGCAATTTGTGAACATTAAACATTCATAGGTTGTCCTGAGAAAGTCCCAAATGCAGAACTTGGAAAAGTTACTTTTTGTGCTACTGCTCCCAGGGTCTCCC